AATTTTTTTTCAAAATCTGGATTGCAAAATTATTATGCAAAATCTGTAGAACCGATTTTGATGAAATTTGGTATGATGATTCTACATAACATGTAGTTTTCTTGAGCCAAGTATAAAGGTCCTATACCCAATTTAAATACCCCAAAAAAATTCCGATTTGTAACTAGTAATGTTTTGTAAAATATTTAATTACAGACATTTTTTTCCTTTTCCATTTTCGCCTAAAATCAACTCTTGAAAAGATACATAATTAAATAGGAAGAAAAATATGATATTTTTCGAATTTTTTTAACATATTGTGCCGCCAAAAGTTAAGCCAACGTTTTTTTTATGCGCATAGAAAAAATTTCATTTCTAGTGATATTTGAAAGCCAAAAATCTCCGTGGATATACGATTCACCCAAATATGGCTTTTTGAAACAGATACCGTCTGGACTAAAATCACATAAGATGAAACTGATGAAACAGCAGAAATATAAAGGAAAAAATAAAAAGAAACATGAGCTATGTAAAAACTGCATCATATGTTATTGTTACAGGATTTTAAATAGATACAATCTATTGACAAACGTTATTTCTCTTTGCATCAGTAGCATATAAATACGTATTATCTCTATCGTTTACACAAGTAGCTTGTGAGAGATCGTTTAGCACTTTGAAGTTTTTAAAAAATCGTTGAAAAGTTCGCTGACTCAGGAAAACTAGAGACTTTTATGTTAATGGCATTAAATATAGACATTTTAAATAGTTTGTCATTAGATGATATAATTAATGAATTAGTTTTAAAAAGTACACTTTTAAAAAATCTCCTTTTATATTAAATTGGAATTTTTAGATTATACTTAGCTCTACAACACAATATTTTTGATTTTACAAAAAATATATTTTAATGATTATTTATTTATTAAAAAGAATAATGCTTTAACTTCTTATACCTTCCAACTACTACTTATCCATTTAAAAAAATCTAAATTATTTTAATTAAAGATTTCAATTTTTATCTACAAACAAATTGTGAGATTAATTATTTTTAAAACAATATCAAATTATCTATGGCTAACTTTTTTCAAATATTTCAAATAAATCATTCATGAAGAACCTATTTAAAATAAAATAAATTCTGAAACTTTCAAAAAACGGGCCGCTTGATGAATGTTTCCCGGGCCTTTTCATCTAGCCAGTCCGCCTCTGCCATGTTTATTCATAAAAATATGTAAACATACGTCAAAAATGCAATCCTTTCCCAGATATAGGGTGTTCTGGTTGTATCACTAAAGAATTTTAAAATTTTTCAAAAAAAAATTTAAAACGGTTTGAGCTAAAACTTCTTACTTGCTATGTGTCTGTCTATTTAAGTGTAATTAATATATTACTATGCAAGAAAGTGACACACAGGGTGTTTTTTTTTGGATTTCCACTCCCTAGACCAGCCCATAACATTTTTATGTGTACGCCTGTTATTGTCGAGTATAATAAAAAATCTATTTTTAGTCAATGTTTACCTCTCGTGAAGTTTTGATACCTGCTATGAATTCCGAGTAATATACTTGGATAAACTTTTAGCATTAATTTAACTGAAATACAGGGTGTTCGAAGATTTCGTTTTTCCATTTGAAGGAACTAATTTTTACAATTTTATGCATAAAAAGTTTGTACGAACATAGTTCGTAAAATGATTCTGTTGGCCCAAAAATGAGTTTTATTTGACATCTCTTTCCAGAGTACCTAATAGTACCCCTGAAAAGCATTTAAAAAAGGAAAAGACAATGATATTCTCAAACTATTTCAGTCCAATCAATATTAAGGAATTATCAGTTTTAGGTAGGTACTCGAAATCTGTAGCAGATATCAAAATGTCACAAGACAAAAAATAATACTGTAGACAGTGCATGATTGGTTACATTACCTAATTTTACTTATACACAAGAGGTAGATACTACATTTTGTCATGTCTTCAATTTCATAATTTTGTTTCAGCAAATGATATAATTATAAAAAATTAACATTAAATTTTTTCAATTCAGTAATTTCTTCAGCATCCAGATTTTTTATGTGTAGATGTACACTTGATTGGTACCACTGGTTTTATAGTTTAAACTTATATATTTAGTGGAAAGTGTCCAATACTATCAAAAAACATACACACCTTGGCTTCAAAAAATTCCTTGGCTCCATTTACACCAACTTTGTCTACATCGACTTCTGTTAACCTGGCAAGTTGGCCCAAACCAGAGTCCTCATCCAATTCGCCCGCACGAGCTTTTCGGAAAACCAACATGAACTCGTGGAAAGAAAGACGACCATCACCATCTTCATCTACTTCTTTTATCATACCCTTCAGGCCTATATGGGTCTGTGGGGCACCCAAGACCTCCATCATACGTTTTAATTCATCTAAGCTTAGGTAACCATCTTTGTTTGTGTTGAATCTGAAACAAAATGATATACTTACTAGATTGTGGAAAAGAATATAAATAATACAATAGTGTATGACCATCTGTTAACATATAAAATTGCTCCATGATATCCCATGATGTACTGATATCATGACTAGACTCTTTTTTAAATAAAAAATGTTGTGCTACATAAGATTATATAAAATATTTTTGTTGATATTAGGCATTCAATTTATTAAAATAAAAACACTCGTAACTGCTAAGTTAAAAAAAAGGCATACAGTTTGTAATGCTTCAAGCAAGGAATTGTTTAAATTTTATATGTGTATTTTACTTCTTAGAGTTTAAAAGCATTTTATTTAGTAAATTAATTGTACAATTTATAACAAAACTATTGTATGCATGCTTGACCATGCTTAGTGCAGTAGCAGAGTGTAACAGAGCCGGCGCAAGGGTCGGTGGCCTTCACAGCTGACGCGCGTTTTGAACTGTTATTTACGGAACTGTAGTACACTACTCAAAATAATTAGAGGAACACTTATTTAAATCTCAATAACTTTTTTATTAGTAATATTATATAATAACATTTTGTTCGAATAAATTTACGAAAATAAAACAAATTTACATAATCACTCTTGAGACAACAGCGCCAATTCAAAAAACTACAAGAAATAAAGTGAAGAGTCTGTGATCCTGTCTGTATAACATAAAGGTCCTGGTGAGATTTGGTTCACTAATATCGTGTAGGTCTTCCATTAGCACGAATTACTGCTTGACACCTCCGTGATAAGCTTCGAATGAGCCTACGAATGTCTTCTTGTGGTATATTCTCCCATTCTTCGATTAGGGCATTTGTTAACTGTTGGAGAGTCTGAGGTGGGTCTGGGCACCTCCGAACACGCCTATCTAACAAATCCCAAAGATGTTCGATGGGGTTTAGATCAGGACTTAGCGGAGGTCAATCCATAAATTGAATCCCGTGATGTTGACGGTAGTTCATGGTGATAATCGCAGTATGTGGCCTTGAGTTATCTTGCATAAACAGAAAATTTGGACCTATACCATAAGCGGCTGGTATAGCATGATCTTCTAGAATGAGATCAATGTACCGTTCAGCGGTTAGAGTCCTTGGAACTATGACAAGATCGGTTCTTTAATCAAGACTAATTCCGCCCCAAACCATCACTGACCCACCACCAAACCTTTTGACTTCTTGTATGGTAGCTGAAAAATGGCGTTCATGTGGACGTCGGTATACACGTACTCGACCATCACAACAACTTAAACGAAATCGTGACTCATCTGTGAAAAGTACTGGTCTCCAATATCGAAGTTGTCATGCCACATGCTCACGTGCAAAATGTAAACGAGACCGTATGTGCTACGGCGTTAAAATAGGTTTTCGCACGGGTCTTCTTGGTCTCAAGTTTGCTTCTCTCAATCTATTCCTAACTGTCTGATCGGGAATTTCCGACCCATGAGTCGTTCCGAGCCTACTGTGAAGGTATTTTGCTATGGATGTACGAGAACGCAAGGAGGATAGGACTAAAAACCTGTCCTGAATTCGGTTTGTTTTCCTCTTAGGACCTTGTCCAATGCGTCATTTATATCCTCCGGTTTCTAAGTAACGATTCCACACGCGACGACTTCAACTTCACTTAGATGCCTCATTTTTTACAATTTATGCTGAACTGTCAACATTGTTTACTATTCCAAGGCACAGCATATTTCTAAATTGAAATTTTGATTGTATGTTTCACTTTATTTCTTGTAGTTTTTTTGGATTGGTACTATTGTCTCAAGAATGATTATGTACATTTGTTTTATTTTCGTAAATTTATTCGAACAAAATGTTAGTCTTTAAGATATGCATTATTAGATTTATATAGTATTACAAATAAAAAAGTTATTGAGATTTAAATAAGTGTTCCTCTAATTATTTTGAGCAGTGTAGTTGGTGTGGCATCGATACCTTTCTTTTTTACGTCTGCTGTAAATATTGTATTCGCTGTGTATTTTTAAATTAACTATTTATAAATAGTAACATAATTTATATTAACAAATTGAGGGGAAATTTTATCGTTAAACAGAGGACCATATTATTGTAGGTACCTCATGTCAAATTTGAAGGTAGTTCACTAGTTTTGTAATTAGAGACAAAAACATTTTTTTATTAACTGGCCTTTGGATTAAGATCTATTTGGGCCATTTATCATATCTTAGCCTCAAGATTATCTGAAGCATTTATACTCCTTCATTTAAATATTTGCTGCTGATATTTTTTAAGACAAAAGAAAAAGTAACGTTTTTTCCTAAAAGGATTCCTAAGGCTCTACAATCTATTATCTATATCTATCAAATTGTAAGATTAGAAGTGAAACACATAGTCATTGATCAATTGAAGATATAAAAACCAAATTTGGAACAATCCAATCCTTCCTTAATATTTATATGTAAAATTTAGTTAAAAATTTATCGGTAGCGTCGAAATTCGAATAAGTTCTGGTTTCAACTCTCAGTATCAAGGTTAAAGAGAATTTTGTTTTATATTATACTGGGCAGACATTTCCAAATAAAACTTTTCTGTCTCTTAGGTTTTCTTCATAGAGTGCACCAAGATGACTAATTATTACTATTAATATTAATAATATTATTAATATTATACACGNTCATATTTTTCTTCCTATTTAATTATGTATCTTTTCAAGAGTTGATTTTAGGCGAAAATGGAAGAGGAAAAAAATGTTTGTAATTAATTTTTTTACAAAACAGGACTAGTTACAAATCGAATGAATCATGATTATTATGGTAAAAATCGAAAAAATCGCAAAAATGGGGTTAAAAAACAATGCTTTTTAGGGAATTTTTTTGGGGTATTTAAATTGGGCCAAGAAAACTTCATGTTACGTAGAATTATCACACCAAATTTCATCAAAATCGGTTCGATAGATTTTGCATAATAAATCCAGATTTTTAAAAAAAATTTGCAAATTTTCAAAATTTTGCACAGCAAAACTAAGGCCCTTAGATACTTGAAAATTTAATCACATATCGAAGGGCTCTCAAGCTTTCAAACTTTTTTGAAAAATTCGAATCCGTCAATTAGGAGAGCTCTGGCGCTTGTTTAGATATTGGTCGAATTTTTGTACTTATAAGCATTTAGAATAACTGTGAATATTCTACCAAATCAAATTTTTTAAAGCAGGTTTTAAAAGTTCTTGGAAAGACACTTCTTTAAAAAAAAAACAGATCGATTGGTCAATTACTTGCGTAGTTATAATAGCCGATCAAAGTTAACCGTCATTTACACTAAATGTACTGGGATATCCGGGCTAATTTTTTGAAATATACCTTTGGTATTCCGAGTACTTACCAGGTCTAAGATTACAATACTTTTCTTCATTGGCAACCTACTTTAAAACGTGTTTAAAGTTATTTATGCAAGCGAGAAATTCAAGAAAATTGTACGGGTGGTCAAATGCCTATCGTTATTGGTCTTTCAACAGTCCGATATTTATTTATCTTTAAACTTCCTTTACTTGTCAACTTTATTTTTCTATTGTATCAAAGGTAAGTTCATAAACTTATATGCGGTTTATCAAAGATCAAAAACAAATTTATTTAAATATTCTGAAATTGTTTAAACAACAATTATTTTCAAAATATGACGAAAATTAGTAATATAATGAGTTAATTTCTCATTTGCTGATATTTTAAACAATAAATAATATTTGAATTATACTTTAATCACAAAAGAAATTATAATTAAATTAATAAATTAATTATAAAAAATCAATAACTTTTAAAACCTGCTTTAAAAAAATTGATTTGATTGAATATTCACAAAGTTATTCTAATTGTTTATAAGTACAAAAATTCGACCAATGTTTAAACAAGCGCCAGAGCTCTCCTAATTGACGGATTCGAAAAAAAGTTTGAAAGCTTGAGAGCCCTTCGATA